TTCATAGTAGTCAGTTCTGGTTGGTACCAACACTTCATAGTAGTCAGATTGAATTTTTCTGTGTTGTCTGGCAGGAAGAAATTCTCCCGGCCAGTCCAGATGACAGTGTTTACAATGATCCTCGGGGCGTTTATTGCAGCCAGGTTAGTTCTACTGTTTCCAGGTGTTCCTGCTCTTAAACACATCAGTTTCCTGTACTACACGGCTGATGGAGTTCTTTGTTCACTACATGTGGACATTTGTAATAAAGTAGTTGTTACATACACACTGTTTTGTTCTCGTCCTCTACATACAGTGCCGATTTGTCCTTTGACCCACAAGGCTACGTCTTCATTCTTATGAACGATATTCTGACCGCTGCCAATGGAGCGTACGTGAAGCAAAAATTAGATGCAAAGGTATGTGACCTGATGAATGGTGGTCATTGTTGGGAAGGAGCTGCCGTTAGCAGCTCAGGTCCATGTTACTTTAGAGACTACAAACTATTTTTAGCTTCTAACTTAAAAAATATCAATGTGAACAAAACAAGTCAGTTTAAATCTTAACTTCAACTGTGCTGTTTCATTTGTTATTAACTGTTTGTCAAAGCAGAAACTGGTTAGATTGCATGTTACAGCAGGAGCTGTGCAAGATCCAGATTTAGTGCACGATGTCTGTCAAGTACCATCCGCTAGATCAGGGGTGGACTGATGTGTGCGCGTTTGTGAACGGTGGGGGGGAAAGATGAGCCCTGTGAGGATTTAGGTAGAGCTGTGGCTTGGCCATGCATGGCACCTGCATGTGTGCTAGTTAGTAGGGGGTGCACTGATAAATCGGCCATCCGATTTATCGGCCCCGATTTCCTTAATTTTGGGAAATCGGAAATTGTTTGATACTCGCATGAGAAACCGATTTTTTTTTTTAGTTTTAACAACAGTTGTCTGAACTTCATTTATATTTCAGAGCACTACCTCACGGCCACTTAAAACAAGTTTGTGTTGTTTCTAGAATATTGTTCAAGGGTATGTTTTTCAATAAAATAAGATTAGAAAATTGGAGGCGCATTGCGACCTTATAACATCTGACAGTGTCGCTTATAAAACAAACTCGTTATCGGCAGGTCAGACTTTTAATAAATCGGCGATCGGACGGAAAACTGCAATTGGTGCACCCCTACTAGTTAGTGAGGAATGCACAGGAAGATCTGGTGACTAACACGCTGTTGATCTTCAACTTCCATCTGTTTCTCTGCTCCTTTTTCAGGAGTTGGGGAAATATGGATTATTATTCTATAATGCATCGTTTATGATCATCCCCACACTGCTGTTGGCTCACGTCACTGGAGATATTCAGAAGGTGAGCACTTTGACTCTTCTCTTCGGTTGTCTTTTCCTATTTTATCCTCATTCTGTGTGTTGGGAAATTTTATAACCAAAGCTTATGAATGAATCAGTCAGGTACTAAAAAGTTTAGCGTGAGGTGAGTGCACACAACCAGGAGTGTGCGCTGTAAATATGAGCTGCCCTGCTTCTTCTTGGTAACTCTCCTGGCTTGCCCAGCTGGGGCCCAGCAGCCTCTACAGCACAAAGATGCTATTATACACCTAGCAGAGTTATTACAGCTATGCCCAAAACTTCCCCTGACTGAATAGCCATAGTGGCGATGCAGACTTTTTTTTTTAAGCTAATAGAAACTCAGTATTGGGTGTGCAAGTTTTTGTGGGGAGGTTGTGGTTCTGTTTCCAAATGCTGTTTTCAGTACTGCCAGAAAAGTAAGTTATTTTTCCCAAACTGGATGTTTAATGTGACCTACAATTAGTGACTCACTCATTCCTTTTGGTCTTAACCTATATTTAATTCAGTTTAGTTTATTTATATAGCACCAAGTCACAACAGAAGTCATCTCAGGGCGCTGCACAGGAACATTCATATATATATAAAAATAATTTAACACCATTTATCTGAGGAGCAGACTGCTTTGAGTTTAACTCCATCACAGACTCTCATCTTGAGCAAGCATGAAGGCGACAGTGGAAAGGAAAAACTCCCTCATGAGGAAGAAACCTTTAGCAGAACCAGGCTCAGGACAAGCAGCCATCTTCTTTGACCGGCTGGGTTTGAGAGGAACAGGAAGGAGGAACAGATACACAATGGCAGGTCCAGAATCACATGTTAAGATAGAAATAGTATCAAATGAAAACTATTCAATTGTAACAATTTATTTCAGGAAATGGGGTCAATTTTGTCCTCTAGTAGTTTAAGCCTATGGCGGCATAACAAGCCAACCTAACTATAGGATTTATAAAAAAGGAAAATATTAAGCCCAGTTTTAAAACTGGACAATGTGTCAGCCTCATGGACAGAAACTGGAAGTTGGTTCCACAAGAGAGGAGCCTGATAACTGAAAGATCTTCCTCCAATTCTGTTTTCCATAACTCTAGGAACCACAAGTAAACCTGCAATCTGAGACCAAAGTGCTCTGTTAGGCAAATATGGAACAACAAGATCTGTAATATAAGATGGAGCTAGGATGTTGAGGGCTTTGTAGGTTAGAAGTAAGATTTTAAATTAAATTCTGAATTTGACGGAGCCAATGGAGAGAAGCTAAAACTGGAGAGAAATGATCTCCTACTAACTCCAGTTAAGACTCTGGCTGCAGCATGTTGGATTAATTGAATACTTTTTAAAGAATTATAACCAACCCACAACTTATATGGATAATTTCCAGTGTTTGCTCTTTTAATTGCTCTTTTAATTTCCATGTGGTAAACCTGTTCTGTTTCTGCTTCCAGGCAGCAGAGTTTGATGACTGGTCCGATGTGTTTTTCCTCTCCCAGTTTGTCCTGTCCTGTGTCATGGGGTAAGGCATTGGCCAGCGTGTCATGCCTGCATGATGACATGATCCAACATCTCAATGAGTCAAAATATGTGTGGTTTATTTTGCTGATGGACTCAAGATGCCATTCTACTTGACTGGGACATCCACAGTGACTCTTTGTTCCAGGGTTGCATCAACATCGTGAAATCCTATTTTGTGCTGGAACAAGTGTCGACTTGTGTGTAACTTGAAAATGTTTTCTTATTTTCAGGTTTATTCTGATGTATTCCACTGTACTGTGTACACAGTACAACTCTGCGTTGACGACTACCATTGTGGGCTGCATCAAGGTGAGTTTAGGAGTTAAATGCAGAACGTATTTGCGTATAATGACAATAAAGGCATTCTGATTTCTGATAACAGAAAATGCTCGTCCTTTTTTAAAATGATTTTTTTCCTTCCAATTTGCAGAATGTTCTGGTGACATACATTGGGATGGTGTTTGGTGGAGACTACATTTTCTCTTGGACAAACTTTATAGGTTTGAATATCAGGTATGAAAACCCAAAAACGTGCTTTGCTAAAAATCTTACATATTTTTTTAAAGTAAAAAAAAATGTTTAAGTGCAAATCAAGGATGTTTCAGATCCTAAAAATGACCATTACTCATCTGACTTTTCATTGTGTAAATGTAGTGGAAAAATATTTTTAATCAAGACAATAACTCAGTGTGACATGTGCACCACAGTGTCACGTCATGTTCATAGCTCTGCTAGTTGTCTCTGTCAACAGTGCCACAGCTCACCTGCTTCATTGTTTCTATGGATTCTGAGAACAGAATAAAGTGGAAGATACTTTATAGTGAAGTGTGGTTTGGTCTGAACAATACACAAACTATAGTAGTCCCTCGATTGTTGCGGGGCTTACGTCCCACACACCACCATAGGTGAAAAATATTCAAGTATGAATGCTATATTTATATTAATATTATATACATTTAAGACTTTATAAACACTTCCCACACTCTTGCAATGCTCTAAACTCTTAAACCTATGCAATTTTAACAACATACATGTATGTACTGTACAGTACTGCAAAATTTTACCCGCCAGCTCCTACATAATTTTAACAGTCACATGCCCAAGTGTCCTGGACAAGACACTGAACCCCTCATTGCCTCTGATGTGTGTCCCATCAGTGTATGAATGTGATAAAGCTCTGATTATTTTTTGTACAGATCTGGTAGAGTGCTGTATGAATGGGTAGATGAGGCACAGATTGTGTTGTAAAGTACTTTGAGTGTCTTGATAAGATAGAAAGGTGCTGTATAAGTACAGTCCATTTAACATATGTACTGCACAGTAACGACTCCAAAATTTTATATCTCACCCGCCTTGGTCTGGTTCTGGTCTGGTTCTGGTCTGGTTCTCTCCACTGAGCACCAGACGCTTTAGGAGAGAGCCAGACCTTCGGAGAGTTCAATGGTGTAGGTTTTGCACATTTTTGCAGTTTCCGAACGGTAAAAGTTCATCATATTTACTGTGCTTAGAGGGTACATTATCTCTTTATTTATTTCTTAACATTTATGTTTATTGATAAATGTTTTTTTTACAGTTGCATCTTTGAAACTTAAGTGTTTAAACCTAAATTGTGAGAATTGTGCTTTCAAGTGAAATGTTTTGACTGTTCTCGTTGTCGTGGCAGAAATAAGGCGGACAGTAGAATCCATGTTTTTTTAATTAAAATAAATATTGAATAGATTCCCAGAATTCAAGACAATGCCTTTAGAAGCTTTTATACTAGTCACGTAATTATTCCACACGAGGATGTCAGCCGTTGTCAGAGCAGTGTCGGTAAGATGGGACATTGGACTTGGCATCAAAACGTGATCAAACTCTCATTATAAGTGAATTCTGATAAGTCTTACAATGTATATAATTTACTGTCATCTTGTTAATTCGTAGTACTTTTAACTAGGAAAAACGTTTGAGTTTTTCCTTATTTCATCAAATGAAATGTGTTTTTTGTCACTAATATGAACTTGAATGATTTTGAAAACTTCCCTCGTTAAAATCAATTTCAAAACCTTTGTGCTAACCCGGTGTGTGTGTGTGTGTGTGTGTGTGTCGCAGTATTGCTGGCAGCCTGGTGTACTCGTACATCACTCTGACGGAGGAGCAGTCCAACAAACCAAGCGACAACAAGCTGGACATCAAGGGGAAGGTGGTTGTGTGACAAACACACTGGACTGTTGTGCGTTTCTTTCATGATCATGAACGGGAAGACTGTTTTAGTACAACTTTTATTTATGAATCATTTGTCCGCAGGTTCCTGGAAATATTGTGTGTGATGTTCTAAAAGCTTTTCTGTGGAAAAGCATCGTTAACGTTTCAGTCCTGCTGCTGCCATGGTTATGAAACACTCCGAGGGACTTTAGGATGACTTTTATATGTAGTTTTTTTATGCTGTAAAGGCTTATTGAGGACAAGGGAACATAAATAATATTTATATTTAGGCATTTCTTGGTTTTCAGACAAACTAAATATTTCAGGGTTTGAACATTTCATAGGTCAACGTTGGGAAAGCGTGTCGTTTCTAGAGTGAACAGCTGGATTTAACAGCTGGAGCGTGTGCGTAGTGATGTGTCACTGGGATGTGAGGAGTTGTTTTCAAAGCTCACTTGTGCTGCCTTCTGTCTGTTGTGCTGTTTCCAAGACGTGTGACTCTGAGCTGCACTGACATTTTCTACTGTTGTCCGTAAGCTCGCGCCTGTTTTATGCTAAAGCTGTTAGCTTGTTACAAACCAACAGTGAGGACGGAAATGTTTTGAAAACTCTTTGTTTTCTTCCTTCAGTGTTATGGGACATTCCTTGTGAACTCCTTGAAACGAACTGGTTCCATTTATGAAGAATCAGCAAGTAATAGTTTTTATACAGGGGTATCTTTGCTTTTAGTGATTATTTTTATTTGGTTTTATTTTTTTTACACATCTCTTGCACTTTTAACTGAGGTAGCGCCTGCAAATCAGTAAAAAAAATAATAATAATTACGTCACGTTTTATTGTTGAGCCTGAGATTAATGTTCTTTTCTGAAATGCAAGTTTCAGGGGGTTTAAGTATTAAGAAACAAAACTAACAGTGTCTTTCGTAGTTTTTCTGTCATTTTATATTTATTTGTTTTTTTAGACATACTTTTTGTTGGTGGGATGATATGAAATGTATTTTGAAGGTATCATCTCTAGTTTGTAGCTGTAAAACTAATGTATTTTTTACATTAAAAAAATAATCTTAATCTCTTTGTGTTCTCGTTTATTGTCTGGTGTCAGTTTTAACTTTAGGCAGACTTACTGTGAATGTTTATGAAGCGTTCACACTATTGTGATCCGTTTGTCTGCTGTACATTTTACAGCATCTTTCTTGTTCCACAATCTTTGTGCTATTTCAACAAATCACAAATCAAATGTTCAGCTCTTTCAGGACAATCCTGCTATGACTTGGTATTGGTGCAACTTTAGCTTTTTGAAATATTTAGCTTTTTCTGCCATTTTTTTCCTCATATAAAATGAATTGAGATCATTTTCCATCCTTCAAATCTTTAGATTTGTTTAAAACGTTTTACTGCTCCAAAAAAGTTCAGTTTGTTTCTCTGGACATTCAAAAAACAAACAAACAAAAAAAAATTGTGGAAACGTTCCAAAAGACTTCTTCAGACAGAAGAAGTCTTTTGGATGAAAGAAAACTTTTCTACAATATTTTTTTGAATGTCCATTGAACCAAACTGAACTTTTTTAGATTTTCCTACCTGGATTATTGAGCATGCATCAGGATATATCTTACTGCTCCTTTCACATTTTGTTCTGGTTCAACTTCTGTGCAAATTTACACTTTTTTCAGCTACTTTCAGCTGTTTAGTGATCCTTTCAGATTCTTTCTGCTGTCTCAAACATTTTTGAGTTTCTTCTAACTTATTTCTGCTAATTTCAGCTTATTTCTGTGTTTCAGCTTTTCCAGCTGCTACTATTTAGCCATTTTCATGTTAATTTTAGCTTTTTCCGCTAATTCAGCATTATTTGCACTCATTTAAACTTTTTTCAGCCTAAGTCAGCAAAAATGTGCTCTCTACTTTCTTCTGGTAATTTAAGCTTCTTTCTGCTTTTCTTTACCTACTTTTCAATAGTTTTGGCAAATTTCAGCTTTTTTCAGATAATTTCCACTTTGTGCTCATTTCTGCTTCTTTCTGCCTAATTAACTTCTTTATGCTAATTTCAACTTATGCTCCTTTCAGCCTATTTCTGCTACTTTATTTCAGCTATTATTTAGCTGTTTTTATGCTAATTTTAGCATTTTCAGCTAATTCAACATATTTTTAGCTCAGCTCTTTCCACTTTCCTTCTGATAGTTTAAGATTCTGCCTTTTCAGCAAATTATTAAATTATTTTTTGCTGTTTTTTTTTGTTTTTTTTAATCTAATTTCCTGCTTATTTAAACCTAATTCAGTAAATATGTGCTTTCTTCTGGTAATTTATGATTGTTCTTCCATTTCAGCTACATTTCAGCATGTTTTAGCTAATTTCAGCTGTTTTTCAGCAGGTTCTTCTGCAGTAAGCATTCACACTGCATTTTCATAGGAAATGTAATTTCTGTAGTTTGGTTTAACGTGGACTTTTTCCCTTCTCAGGCCACTGTAGCCGTTAGTCCAATAAGAGCTGAAATGTTTGGAAACAAGCACTGATCCAGTAAAATAATCCATCATTTCAGAAGATGGGCAAGTTTAGTGTTGCCATCATTTTTAACACAACTCTAGTAAGTTATTTTTAATTAGCTGTGCAGGAATGTGTAGGAGCCAAAGCAATTTGCAGCTTTAAAACAATTTCTATTTTTTTTTTAAAGATCCCTTTTGCTACTTCAAATGATTCTTCTTGCTGACCTGCCACATGTTTATTTACCACAATTCCCTCCAACAATGTCACATTTTTTTCAAAAAAATACAAAAATTTATTTGAATGCCACAAAAACAGAAAACATTTAGACTCAAACCCACAGCATGTTCTGCTTTTACCCACTTGAACAACATCCAAAAGAAATTTCAATTTTAACCAAAACCAACATTTAAACCAAATGACTTCACACTGGTTTAGTATACAGGCGAGCTCATAAAGGAACAAACTACATAATAATAAAAAAACTACCATATTGCATTGTTTTTGCAAGTATTGGGCAAATTAAAATAAAAACACTTTTTCACTTGTACAGCTCGAACTGAAAATAAACTGCAGATGGAACATAACAGGAGCACCCAGTGTAATGTTAACGTGTTAAAAAAGACATATGGCCACACGCATGTTCTGAAATATACAAAATATTTGATTTTTGATTAACCAGCCTAAACATTGTTTATAGTAAAATTAGCATTTCCTCCCACATCCAGATAAGAATGATTGATCACTGATAAAAGTACAGTAACATCAACTTCAAGTAACTTCAACCCTCCTGCTGCCCTTGGGTCAAAATGACCCGAGGCTTCAGGGATCATTTTGACCCAAGGGCAGCAGGAGGGTTAAACTCTTTCACCTGTATGTACAAAATATTAAATTTATTAGAAGTTCTCCGTAAAGTCAAAACATGTAGAGGTCACTGATGAGAAGTGGTTGAACATGATCAAGGCCTTCAGACTTCTCTGGAGCCACAAAGATCAGATTCAAGTATCTGTAAATATTAAGAGCCTGGTTCACGACCATCATTCATGTTGGTCCTTCGCTACCAATAAATGCAGATGATTTGGCAGAGTGGAAGAAGATACAGGCAGCACGCTGGCACAGTGGGTAGAGCTGTTGCCTCTCAGTGAGAAGGTCGCCAGATCAAATCCCGGCCAGGGGCCTTTCTGGGTGGAGTTTACATGTTCTCTCTGTGCATGTGTGGGTTTCCTCTGGGTACTCCAGTTTCCTCCCACAGACCAAAAACATGCATGTTAGGCTGATTGGTAACTCTGAATTGTCTCTAGGTGTGAGTGAGAGAGTGAATGATTGTTGTGCATCACATCCAGACAAAGGCATCTTGAGCTTTGAGGTCACTTATTTGGCACAGAGGTCATGTAGAGGTTAACGCAGATAACAGCAACACTGGTTTAAGAAAGAACAAAAAAACGTCTTACAATGGTTTTTCTGGGGCATCTGCTGGGATGATGATACAAACACAGGTCTCTCTTGAAAATGAGTCCTTGTGACTCGAAGGGACTTGATCTTCTTTCAGCTGCTCCTTCTTCAGGAGTCACCACAGTGAACTAAGTTGCACAAAGACTTGGCGATTGTTTTTACACCGGATGTCCTTCCTGACACAACCCCAGACCACCGAGCTACCACAGCCCTCTGTGTGGAGAAGAGAGCTGCTATCCAGGGTGCTGGGGGGTGAGGGCCTTGCTCAGGGGCCCAGGGTGGGGCAAATGAGGGTGGAGACAGGTGTGGGTGTTTCACCTTTTCCACCCTCATTTGATGTTTGTTAACCTTTATTTAAACAGGCAAATCCCACTGACATCACAGATCTCTTCTGCAAGAGAGGCAGCCTGACATGTTTTTGGTCTGTGGGAGGAAACTGGAATACCCGGAGAAAACCCACACAAGCATGAGAAGAACACGCAAACGTCACACAGAAAGACCCCAGGTCCAACTGGGGATTGAACCCAGGACCTTCTTGCTGTGAGGCAATAGTGCTAACCACTGAGCTGTCGTGCTGCCGAATGCAGTTGGCTCGGGGAGTTGAACCGGCGACCTTCCGATCACAGGCTCACCTTCTCTAGCCTCTGCGCCACCACTCCCCCACAGCCCGAGACTCAGTGAGACTAACCTGTATAAATAAAGGTTGAATGAGTCGTTTAGTTGAACGAAGCTTCTTTGAAACAGAAAATTCAAGCATCCCTTTCTGAGTCCCCAGTTTTCCTCAGTGCATCATCCATTAAACTCTTCGATTATCAGCGCCTTCCAACACAACTGATCATGTCCAAGCAGAAGACAGCATGCAGGCATGTCAACAGTCTACCAGTCGAACAACTAAGACAAGACCAACCTGCTTTGTGACAAACAGCGTTCACACGAGCCTCATTGCTCACCTACGCACTGCACTTCTTTCAAAACATCTTCCAGAATGCTGCAGACAGCCTTCAACCAGTGCTTGCACTATGCCCATTTTAAATAGTGTGAACTCTTCTTTACAGTATACTGGTAGCAGCCAAGAGAAACAGAGATAGTAAGCCAGACAAAACTGCAACACAACACGAACAAGGAGATAAAACTCCACCATAACTGAGAGCAGCATGGGAGCACTTCATTCAGGAGAAAACTCTGTTGTGTATAAATAAAACTTGATTGCTTTTAAAGTTTCAGACACAAAATAGAGGGGAGGGGAGCATTTTGCCCAGTTCAAGCATTTGTAGGGTACCTTATTTTTTACAAAAGGACATTTCAAGGCAGGGACAACAGTCAGCCAAACTAGGTGAAAGGTGAGACAGATAAATTAAAGCCCTGGGGGGAGACATGAGGCATGACTGTCCTTTCATTACGTCCAAAAACAGGAACAACGAGGTTCACCTCATGTTGTCACCTCGTAGGTACAGTAAAATAGGTACGGACAGAAAAAAAACTATATAAATTAATTATTAACTGCTTTCATACAAAGCAGCTGTGATTGTGGGGATTGTGTTGAACGGTCCAGCTTCACAGCCCCACGAGGTTCTCAGCCATGTAGCAGAGACTGTAGAAGTTGCAGCCTATGCAGCAGAGGTTACACAGAGACGACAGCAGTCTGTACAGCCACAGGCGACTGCTCAGGATGCGGTACTTGGCATCCGTCTCGCACAGTTTGGCGTAAGCTTCGCGGTTGGACGACAGTCCGATATCCTGACCCAGTCCGCAGGCCTGTTCAATAAGATGCATGTCCGCCATGATCTCTGACGTCATCTGGCCGAACCACTGAGCGTTGACGGCTGCAACCGTCACCGATACAAAGAAGATGAAAATCTGGAGGCACAATATGAGCAGAGAGTAAGTGAAAGCGATGCATCATAATCAGATTTAATCCCAAAGCAGAATAAACATGGCACCTGAAAGGACTCCCTGTCGTTCAGCATGTCTCTGGGATGATGCACAGTGTAGATGGTGAGGTTCAAGAAGGCGCAGGCTGAACCCAGGTGGAGGTAGAACGGAACAAGGCGACTCTGAATAAATCCATACGTGTGTCTGTTCAGGTGGTTGTCCATGACGAAGCCTGCACAGAAATCAAAACGACACAAAGGGAAGATCAAAACGTCTAGTTTCGTGTAAAAAGACTTCACAGACACAGGTATGATCAGTTTCAATACGAACTTCTAAAACCAAAAAAAAGGTCAAAATAAATAAAAAGTACTTTATAATGACATGTTTTCAAAGATAACAGTCATATTGGACAAGCACAGAAATGTCCTTGAGTTTGTATTTAAGGCTTAACTCGTGATGTACTGTAATCCCTCGATACTTGGCGATTCGACTTTTGCAGGTTTTCAACGTAAGATTGTACACGACACACGATTGTCAACTTTAATATTACTCAGGTGATTGGGACGCTACGGGGTAAAAAGCTAACGGGAGCAGGAACCAACCAATAGGACAAAAAACAAACAAAAGCAAAATACTTCAAACAGGCCGCCATTTTGTGGTTTTCTTTCAATAAGCCTGCACAGAAGTCAAAAGAAGAACTACACAGTCCAGAAGCCAACAGTGCTTCCAGTCGCTGCTTTCTGCCAAAATTCAAACAACGGCAATGGAGGGAGGAAACGCTAACGGAGAAACCAACGTGGTGAAAATAGTTTTGCAACACAAAGTCAGAAGTACCGATCTATTGAGCTCACAGAACTGGCAGCAAAGTCTCAAATAATCCTGAAGCTGAACTCATCCTTCAAGTTGTACCTTCACTGGTGAGTACCCATATACAATTTTGCAGTACTGTACAGTACATGTACGTATGTTGTTAAAATTACGTAGCGTTAAGAGTTTAGAACATTGTTAAGGACGTTATCACGAGGATGTCTGGAGCGTAACCCCCGTGATAATCGAGAGACTACGGTACTGGGTTCTACTTTCTTCCAGCTAAAACACAAATGAAGTTAACGATTTACTAAAAACATTCGTGTGACAAATGGAAAAAAAAATGTTGCCAAATGCAGTAATTTAAAAAACTTTTTTCTCCACCTTTCAGAGAAATCTGGAAGCTATATTGTTACTGTATGGTACGTATACGTGCATGTAACTCAAAAGTGTTTCTTTAACATACAGGAAGTAATTATTGATGCATACTTGAACACTTTGGGTGGTGGGGCAGCTGCAGCAGTTTCCCATCACACATTTAGCACAACAGACAGTAGAGACAGTGTTAGAAGACTTTCCCAACACGGTCAACTTATCACTTTAATTGCAAAAAAGATCCTTGAAAGAAAAAAGACGAGTAAATTAAATGTTGAACCAGTGCATCAAAGTCATTTGGAAGTGAAAAAGCAACAGAATTGTAAGAAAGCTAACTGTACGAGGGTGACACCTCCCTGGATTTGGACAAATTAACCTGTTTGTGTCTTTTCTAAATTATAATTTGATAACTTTTATTGTGACTTGCTTCTTTATAAAAGTACATTTTCAGCTATAAGCCTGAACGCACCAGACTGGGAGGTCCAGTTTTTAGTTTTCAGACCTATCTGCTCAAGAATCAGCTTCCTGTCTGGGTTTGGGACACAAACACACTCCGTGCTTGAAAAGCAAGACTTAAAACGTCTTCTTTAAAACATCTGTTTTATTGTACATGTTTTAATGTGATTTTACTTTAATATGCTTGTTTTATTTACGCTTAGCTTTGTATTTTTACCTAGCTTGACACTTCTAGTTTACTTATCGATTTTTTAAACATTACCTTAAGTTTTTTAGTAATATATGTGTGGATGGCGACGTTTGTTTTATGTCGTATTTAGCACTCGAGTTTGAAAAGTTCCATGTAAATGAAGTAAACGTGAGTAAGCTACAACAGCGAATCCAGGTGTAGATGTTGCTTTCATTTTTATAAAAGATGATAAAGAGGTGTTTCATTGAGGTTATGAAAAAAAACCTCATGGAGAAAAATGCACTTGAAAATACAAAAACAAGAGAAAAACTGCACTTGTTTACTAAAACTTTCTCCATCAATTCATGCTGATAGAACAGTTAGAATAATCTATTTGTTCTTGCGTGTCCGGATTATACCTACTTGAAATGAAGGTGACCCAGATCTGCATTCCCCAGTAGGTGGAGAGCAGCAGCAGCTGCAGCAGCTTCACAGTGTAGGTGGGCTCCTGGTCAGTGGGCATGCTTCCTTCTCTGTGCTCTGCAGTCCACAAAACAGCCCTGTCCAGACAAACAGGTGATGCTTTTACCTCCTGGTCAAATGGAAAAAATATATATATAAATCACTAAAATTACTGATTTGTAGAGTCAACCTTTCCCACCTTTAAATAAGCACAAAGCAGCATTGTTGTGTGTACAGAATTCAGAATAGTAACTAAAATCTCAGGTTAGTTTATCTGTGTCACTGATTGTTGATATCAGGGCTTTACTCCGTTTACCCTCAAGGGCTTGGAGACTTCCGCATTGTTGTCAAGGTAACCACTAACCAGACCGCTGGGCTGACCTCACCCTAAAGTGTGTGGACCTAGCCCAACCGGAAAATACACACACTGAAGTGAAACAAGTAAACGATGAAGACTAAGGGTTCAGAACAACCAGTAGTGAAGAATAATTCGAACACAAACATAAACCAGCGATAACTTGACGACTACTACTGAGACAATGAATATTAAAGGATCAACTTTGTAAGAAATGACACATTTTGTGTACTATTCAACTAGGCTAGCAGAGTACCCGCTAACATCTCAGGCTAAAGGTTAGCAAAGCTTTACATAAAAAAACAACTTCCATTCATTGGAGGTCATTGTAATCAACACATTTATGAAAATGTATGCTTAATATCTGCGCTCGAGTGTTAAATAAGGTGTATAACCAACCTGAATTGTATAATGTCTCCAGGGACCTCGTCGCGGTGACTTTGGGTAATGTAGTAAACTTCTGACTGTCGGAAACTACTTCACGAGCTCTGTCACTTGGAGGGGGCGGGGCAAGTATGGCGGGCCGTTGTAACATATAATCAAGCGACTTTCTCCGATTACTCATAACGCCGTTATAATCCAAACATTTTTCATACATGTTTTTGGTCTGTGAGAGGAAACTGGAGTAAACTCACACATGCACGGAGAGAACATGCGAATTCCACCCAGAAAGACCCCACACAGGGAATTGAACCAGGGCAACCTGCTCGCTGAGAGGCAGCAGCTCTAACTGCACCACCGTGCTGCCCTTGACCATAAAGCATAATAAAACCTTTAAAAAAGTGGTCCTATTCTAAAGTGGTCTCCTAAACCAAAAAATGTGATCATTGTCCCCAAAGCACAAGAACAAGCTTCAATGCAGAAAATATTTTTGTTTTATTTGACACAGATATTAAAGTAAAATCATTTTGGTGTATTGTTTATTTCACTGTAAAATGTGACTTTTTTTGTTTTTAAATAAAAAAAATATTTAAAAACTACCTGGTCAGGAGCCCAAGTTGTGTGTAAGGTATTTCAGAAAACAAGGCTACAATATTTGGAAATGTTGTACAACACACATTTATAAAGAAAAATAGGAGGTTTCGTCAGTGTCACGAAGTACAGAAACATTAAGTTGTACACAGAAAAACATGGAAGAAACATAGCTCCAAATTAAAATGTTTCCGCGTATCCTCATGCGCAACAGTTTTTGGTTTAGTAGAAACTTTCCCAAACTGGCAGTCATGAGTCGTCCACAGAGGGTCAGTGGCGAGCAGATTTACAGATTTTGTCATAAACTTCGGGAAAAGCTTCCTTGCATCCCAACTCGTCTCTCAGTCTGTGATAAAGGTGTCCATCAAACATCTCCCAGAACTCCTTTCGATCCATGTACACATCTGCATACAACATCTGGAACCTGCAGAGCCATAAAAGTTGCAATGTAAACACCAAAATAATTCAATAAAAATAAAAGGCCCGGCATTCTTTAAAGGATCGCCTGTCACCTATCATGCAAGATAATGAAACTAAGACCATGTCCCACTGCAGGCCTTCATGCTCAACTCCCATTATTTGCTCAGATCCAGTTTCTGGACGTGGTTGTTCGTATAATTTCAGAGCTACATCAGACTGAAAGTGACCTGCATGCACAGAAGACGTGACGTCGCACGCAGCGCACCGTGTTTGTGGAAGTAAACATGGATGCTACACATGATAGCATGCAAGTACTGAATCTAAAGTCGTGCAATCCAAGTAGTGGCCTTACAATCCTGAGGCTGCAGGTTTGAGTCCTGCTTGCTTTAAGAAAGGACGGACAGACAAATTCTTCATGCCTGGGTTTGTCATGCTCAGATTGTCATAAAAAATAATGAAATATCAAACATGCGCCATCTTTGAGCAAAAATAAAAAAGGATTGGGAGCACTTTTACCTGCAGTGTGAATTTTGCATGGCCTGTTCGGTCGTCCCTAATTAATAACGTTATGAATGAATTCATGCAACATTGTGCATATTATCAGTATGAGCTGTGAATGACTCAGATGTCTGCAGTGCTTATCATTTTGAGTGAACTGGAGTTTTATTATTGAGTTATGCAAGGTGGATGCTGCAACCATCTTGAATTGGACTGACCACAAAAGTTAAAGGGTGATCAGTCGTGGTTGTACATCTAATGATTATTTTATAAAAGCGTGTTTAAAATGCATTAGGTGGTAAATATGACATTTTGCTAACAGACAAACTAAGTTGACCCCAAATAGTTAATTGCACAATTTTAAGCATTAGCGCAGGACTCAGATTAAGTGCTGGATATGAGTCTCAGCTACAGAATGTTAGTTTAGTATCTGTAAATTTGACTGAGTTAGTCATTTATTTGCTTTTAATAACAGTCAGTTTGCTGTGGCGGTCACTTATAATCAGTTTGACTTTAAAAGTTAATCAGATGCAGATGTATACCCAGAGATTACTTCTGCAAGTTTCAATTAAAATCCATCCAGTAGTACGAGATACTTTGCTAACAGACAGGGGACAAACTCAACCTGAGCTTCATGTGTGCCACTTGAGTTTCAGCAGCTGATTTACCCGTGCACGTCTCTGACAAACTTCTCCAGCCGACGTGTTGTTGCTTTGGCTTCAAAACGTTTCACTTTTGGCTCTCCGTAAGCTCCAACATCCACGTACAGCTCCTCCTGCTGACCCTTGGGATGCACCATTCCTCGGCCCGGCGGCAGCAGGAACGGGCACAGCCACAGAGGGTAAACCTGAAACGACGCAGGTCATCTGAAACCTTCAGGCAGCACAAGTTTATTTATAAACACAGCGTACGCCGCTCGCTAATCAATACTCCGGTCTCACATTGATCTCCTGGTGAAAGTGAGAGATGGCGTCCTGCAGATGCTTCACGGGTATCAGCATGTCCTGCACCACGTGGTGCTGTTCGTACAGACGCCTGATGGTTTCTCCCTGGGTGAGCTTCAGCAGCGAGATCTTTGGAGGGACCATCCATCCGAACATCCAGCGGAACGCAGGGTTGTTGCCAAATGGAATGATGTCCTGGAGGAAAAGGCACAAATATAAAAGCACAGAAAACTGTTAAAAACAATTCTCGGCCATAAAACTAAACAGTAAAAAATATGTCTGAGCGCTTCAATTAAATATTTCTACACCGAGAACGTAGAGGTTTGAATCCTTTCTGATAAACTAATATTTTCCCTTTTCTTTTTAGAGGCCGAGATAAACCCAGATTTAGAGTTGTGCAGTGGTCCCTCGATACGTCGCGGTTCGTTTTTCACGGACTCGCTCGATCGCGGTTTTTCAAAATAAGATTGGACATGACACGCAGTTGGCTGATTGATGGATGAGCCGCATGATCGGCATGGAATTTTTATTTAAAATAAATTATTGAGCACCTGCTGCACCTGTGTGCAGCCCACACTGAAGAAGCTCCCTCCTGCAGCGTGTCATATCTCTGCTGTGCAGCAGAGAAGTGGGCGTGGCCGAGAGCGCTGACAGAGGCAGAGAGCTGAAATCATGACGTGACACCACACTCTTTTAGAGTGTTTAGAGTTCAGAAAATTGTTAGGGACATTACAAGAGTGTGGGAAGGGTTTGAAACGCCTTAATATACCTGTATATACATACTAAAATACACTACTACTACTAGTGTACATCATTTTGTTCCAGCTTGTACCACAAGATGGTAATGACAATAAAGTTTACTTGAACTTGGACTACTTTATTCCTACTTTGTGGTTTTTCACTTATCGTGGAGTGGTGGTCCCAAACCCCCACGATAAATGAGGGAGTGCTGTACTGACGAGTGGATCAGTTTTCTTAAAAGTCAGATGTCTGCATAAAAAAACACATTCAGTGCAAAATAATCAGCCTAAATTTGAACACAGTTCTCATTTTTCAAAAGAAAATTAGTAACTAAAGAAATAATACTTCAGTCTGTCTTGCATTGCTTAACTTGTTCTATTTTATTGCCCTTTACAAAGAGAATAAAATGAAAATGGTGTCAGGGCAATTTTGGTCAAGGTCAAGGATGTTTATCACTAACTAATGTCAAATTAATGTTGAAACGTGTGTGTGAGTTCAGAGAGCTCGTTTTTCTCTCGGAGAGGAGCTGATTTGATCCTGCATGTACAGCTGGGAGGCCGAGGTCATCATGGACTGTCTGTGAGCTGTGATAAGCGTGTATTATATAAAAACTATTCTTGCACACTGTCCGGGGCAGACTCTCGTGACTGGGCTCCATGCAGTGTAGAAAGTCTGTCGTTGCAAGTAAGAACTGGTTAAATACCTTCTCGAGTCCTCAAGTGTGGCTTCTTTGAGTAATTAACATGAATAGAGGATATTTTTATTCAACCATCAGCACAATAAATAAGGCGTTAACATGAAAACTTAATCTTAAAAAAAAAAAAAATGCAAGAATGTTAAATTAAACGAAAAAACCTTTACAACACAATGTAGTATCCTGAAGCGAAAAGGTTTAAACGTGCCGATGAGCTCTTTCAGATGTAAATGTACTTCCAATAATCACTGACTGTTTTATTTAAATGTATCCAGTAGTTCATGAGATATTTTACAAACAGACAGACTCAGAAGGGCAAAAAGGTGGTGGATTATAAAAGTCAGACACCCATCCATTATTTTTATCTGCTTCCTCCTTTTCAGGTCACGGGGGGTCACTGGTGCCCATGTCCAGCGGGGACACCCTGGACAGGTGTCCAGTCCATCACAGGGACACATAGAGACAAATGAGACAAACAACCATTCACTCACTCACTCACTCACTCGCACCTAGAGACAATTTAGAGTAGCTTGTGGGAGGAAACTGGAGTAACTGGAGGAAACCCACACATGCACAGAGAGAACATGCACACTCCACCCAGAAATGCCCCGCGCCTGGATTTGAACCAGCGACCTGCTCACTGAGAGGCAGCAGCTCTACCAACTGCACCATCGTGCTGCCCTTCAAACTCCACAGTGTGTCTATTTTTCCTGCTCATATTTGAGTGATTTAACTTTTTCCTGCTCTCTAAATATAAACAGAACTTCAATAAGAACAATTTTTGTTTTTCAGTTCAAAAGTGTTTTGTGCAGTTTTTTTTCCTTTAAACTGAAACTTTCCTAATCCAACAAAGTTCAGTCAGGTCCTCTGGACGTTTTTGTTGTTGTTGAAACATTTCATCTTTCATCCAAAAGACTTCATCAGGCCAAGGAGCGGCAACAAACTCAAGTCTTATAAATACTATAAGTACTATTTATAAGTATAGTAACTAGTTATTATAAGACTGAGTTTGATTGTGGCTCCTCAGACTGATGATATCCTTTGGATGAAAGATGAAATGTTTCAACAACAACAAAAAAACATCCAGGACTTGATTTATTTAACTTTGTTAGATTTTTTACCTGGATTATTGAGCATCCTTCAGGATACTTTCTTCCTAAACTTCCACCAGAGGGCAGTCCAAAGCCAACAAAGTGTTACCACCTTGACCAACATGCTCATCCCAGACTGTCCTATTTCTGTCAGCCTTTTTAATGTGAACAATGACCAAAAAACCCACAGCCTAAAGCTCAAAAGAGGCTCTTTTAAGTACCTGTCAGACCAGTTCCATGCATAATTTATCACACCATTTACTGTTCTGGAAGTCAAGGGTGCCCAGCGCTCCTCACTAATGGCTAATGGTGTGTGTGTGTGTGTGTGTGTGTGCCAGTAAGAGATGGAGTATTAGACTGAAAGAGAATCATCAACACTTGAACTTTAAACTTGTGGAAACACGGCTCATCTGAGAGTGTTCGGATGTTTATAAAACTTCTGAGAACTCAAATTTAATGACACTCAGGAGGTTCAGCTAAAGCTCAAATGTCCATTTTAATATCAAGACTTGGTTGAACTGATCCAGGAAAAGAGGGAAGGTACACTGCTGAGACAAGAAGCAAAAGCCTTGCAGTGAATACAGAGACAATATGTTTGAATATTTATCTGCATGCAGATGCATGAAGAGGCAGATTCACTAAGATTTCACCGAACATCTTTCTGCTCCACGTTTAGCTTTTCATTTATCTGCTCCTTCTCTGTGTCATATTTACAAAGTACATAACAACAAGGAAGAACCCATCCAGAGGATCTGACTCAAGCCTGTTAGATTTATCTACCTGGATTATTGTGCATGTGTCAGGATACAAAGCATACTGCGCTGATGCCACTGATGCAAACACCCATTCAGTTCAGAAAGATGGGAACAATGGAACGTTTTGTTTTTTGTAGCAGAACGCAGGAGAACACAGATATCCTGCAGCGCAATCTAAACTAGAGACATCACATTTCCTGTGAAAATGGAGTGTGAATGCTTATTGCTGAAGACCTTGATGAAAAACACCTGAAATGGAACTGAAATGGAAAAACAAGCCTAAGTTAGCAGAAGAAAACAGAAAGACATATTTGCTGAATTAGGGTAAAATAAGTAGAAATGAGCACAATTAGGAAATTACCTAAAAAATGCTGAAAAAGTGGACCAAGCTTAAATTTGTATAAGAAATCAGAAAAATACACGTCTGCTGAAAGAAGCAGAAATGAGAAAAAAGTGGAAATTATCTGAAAAAAGTTGAAATTAGCAAAAAAACGCTGAAAAAGTGCTTAAAAAAAAGGCAGAAAGGAACTTAAATTACCAGAAGGACTTAGAGAGAGCACCTTTTTCACAGAATTAGGCTGAAAAAAGTTTAAATGAGTGCAAAAAATGTGGAATTAGCTGAAAAAGCTAAAATTAGCATAAAACAGCTAAACAGTAACTGAGAAAACTGAAACTAGCAGAAATAAGCTGAAAGGAGCATAACAAGCTGAAATTAGTAGAACAAAGTTAATTAGGCTGAAAGAAGTAGAAATGAGCACAAAAAAGTGGAAATTTTCTGAAAAAAGCTGAAATTAGCCAAAAAATAAAAAAATAAACCAGCTGAAAAGTAGCTAATATAGCAAAAAGAAGCTTAAATTACCAAAAGGAAATGGAGAGAGCACATTTTTGCTGAATTGGGCTGAAAAAAACTTAAATGAGTACAAAAATGTGGAGCTGAAAAATATTAAATTAGCATAAAACAGCTATATAGTAGCTGAAATAGTAGAAAAAGCTGAAACTTGCAGAATTAAACTGAAAGGATTATAACAAGCTGAAATGAGCAGAAATAAGTTATAAGCACAAAAATGTTTTAATTAGAAGAAAAAACCTGAAAGGAGCACAAAACAGCTGAAATTAGAACAACAACAACAAAAAAAAAGCTGACAAAAAGTTTACATTTGCACATAGAAGCTAAAAGAAGCTGAACCAGAACAAAATGTGAAAGGGGCAGTAAGAGGTTGTAAACAGATCTAAAGATTTGAAGGATGTAAAATGAGCTCAATTCAATTTCTACAAGAAAAAAATGGCAGAAAAGGCTAAATATGTCAAAAAGCTAAAGTTTCACCAATACCAAGTCAAAGCAGGATTGTCCTGAAAGAGCTGAATGTTTTGATTTATGATTTGATTTATGATTTGTTGACATAGCTTGAAAACTGTGGGACGAGGATTGAACCGAAAAACGTACGCAAGAAAAATGGAGTGGAGTTAAAACTTCATAAACATTCACAACACCACCATCCTTTACAAACACATCAGGCCTAAAAGAGACAGAAAGTGAAAATAATCCTTAATAAAGTTATTAATCTACAAACACAGGGCTGCAGAATGTTGGCCTTACAGATGAGCAACAGAGACGTTCTGTAAAACTGCACAAAACCATCATCTCATGTTGGACAGAAATCAAGTCCATGACGGTGCTTCCACCTGTTTTCACCTAAAATCTAAAAGGCTGCCTAAACCTTTTTGTTATGTAGAGAGAGGGAAGATGTTAGAGCTATCAGACACTCAACAATTAACATTTCTTTCCCAAGCACACTTCATACAGTGTTGCACAAACAAAACTCACAAACCTAATCTTTGTTCATAATAATTATAATTCACATCATCATCATTCAGATGTGTCGTGTTTGATAAAGTGAACAATCTTCATTAACAGGTGAATAAAAATCATTGTTTGTGGCAAATTGCACAGCAGAAAACACTTCACATAAAACAGGCTACCTGAAAAGGTTTCACATTCCCTGCATTATCGAGGAGTAGGGGTTGAACGAGTATATAATTTTTAAACTCGACATTAACATAATAAAACCCGAGTAGAACTCGAGTATTTGATGACGTCATAGATCTCAAGATACAAAAATAAATAAATAAATAAAACCGGAAAAAATGGTAATTATTTACAACAAAAAAAGACCAACAAAACATTGGGAGCGTATATTATGTTCCTACCATTTATCATACTGCAAATAAGTCACAGGAAAAACTAAACTATTAGTTATTATTATTAAACTGCAAACGTGAAGAAACATGCAGTACGTCAAAAACGAAACTTTAAACCAAAACTGGTTCTGGTTCGGTAGATTGGACCCGGTGTTACACCATACTCTGTGACCTGCAACAGTGCAACACCGCCCCCTACGGTCATACGTGGTCACATAATATGACGTCACTACGGATACTCGACATAACATTTTTAACCTCGATAGTTGTCCTAGCAATCGATGTGTAGATTACTCGAGTACTCTGTTAATGCCCTATCGAGGAGACACCAAGTCGAGTCACACTCGCAGAAATCACGTTTAGCGGCTGATAGGTTTGCACAAGCAAACGCGAACCTAAATTTGATTGCGCGCTCAAACAGATGTGTAAGCTGATCTACTAACGGGGCACACCCCGGACTGCGTCTGTCAAATGAGCCAAACAAGCATGCACAATTCATTGTATGGGTTCACCTCAATGAATATACAATATCAGCCATTTCTAAACAAACGTGCAAAATACTGGGAGAAGTAGATGGAAATAGATTAATTTACCGTGCACAATGTGATTGACCAAATATGAGAGGAATTGCGGCAGTTGATTTAGTGTCTTTTAATAGCGTGTCTGAAAGGCAGGTGTAAGCTGTAAGCTGTGCTGTACCACTTTACACCTGCCTTTGCACACAATAACCACAGCCAATGCACCCACCTGCATAATGGCTGTGGTTACTGTGGCGAAGAGGAGGAACAGGCAAAATGAGATGTGACGGAGAGAAAAGTTCTTTTCTGCTCATGTAGGCATTTCAGAAAGGCCAGAAACAAACATCATTGAGACATATCGTCTATCCAGCAAGGTGGAGTCATTCCGTATCACAGGTGGAGTAATGCCGCATCACAAGTGGAGTCATGCCGCATCACAAGCGGAGTCATGCCGCATCACAAGCGGAGTCATGTCGTATC